AAGCAATGATAAATAACTTGTAATAATTAGAAATATATAATGTAAGTGATTTTTTTTTATACAAAGAACTATCTACTTAATTTGTAGGCCGCATACGCGGCATAGTAGATAATGAAATATATAGTTCTCATATATTAAAAATTGACTGACTGTTGCACCAACAGAATCTTCCTAATTGCCAATATACAAGTTCCTGATATACCTGAGGAAATAATAAAGAATTATGGCTTGTTGAAGGGGATTCTGTATTTGTTAATCCCAAAAACATTTCTCAACATGTTAATGTGTAGTTTTCAGATTTACCAGAACCTGATAACTATGATTTCTATGTTCAAGAAGTTATATACTGTTTTGATGATCGTTGGAAGTACCATGATATTTCAATAAGATATAGAATACCTTGTGAATCAGTTATGCTTAAAACACTACCACAACCCATGTCTATATATAAGGTGTTTCTTGATATATACATTGATGATTTCAGGACTTATAGAAACGTTTATCACTCATTAGGAGGAATATATTTACAATTTGGGAATATGCCTTTATCTTTAAAGAAACAACTTAAAAACCATTTTCTAATCGGACTAGTCCCATTTGATGCTAATCTTAATGATGTTATTCGGCCAATACTTAAGGATATTCAATGTTTAGAAAATGGATTTTCAATGCAAACATTATATAGGAACATATGGGTTGTTGGTGGTCTTGGGTGCGTTATCACAGATCTGCCTCAAGGCAATGATCTTGCTGGAGTTAAACGACATAATGCTATTCATGGTTGCAGGTCATGCAATATTTCTAGTGATCACCTTACAGATCTAAACTATAATCACATAGCAAATGCCCATTCTCACTATCAAACCAAAAAATGATTATTAGAAATTGAATGTCAACAAACACAAATAGAGAAAGAACATCTAGCTACTAAATATGGGTTAATAACTTCTCCTGGACCTTTTAGTATCCTCCAATAGGATTAATATATACAGTCTCTACAAGACATATATCATTCTATGGGTGGAAAGGCTCGGACTTTGCTGAATGCTACATTTAATATACTTAACAATGGTGGTAAAAAAGCCTTTATAGAACATTGGAAAACTATTAAAAAACCTAGTAGTTGGGGCAGATTGCCTAATCCAATAAGGCATCATCAAAGCTTTATATTTTCTAATGTTTTAAAAATCTCAATGCTGATGCCATTTATACTTAGGCATTTCTTAAACTCCAATCATATAAAAAAAGAGATTTCATCAACAAAACAAACTAAGCAACTTTGTATCCTTTGGGCAGTTAAGGCTAAAGTTCTTAAACTTGCATTTTCAACTACAATGACAGAAAGCACTTATAAAGAATTACAAGATTCACTAAGAAAAGAACATGAGATGCTCATTCAGATTAGTTTTATTGATTCTTAATTATTGCAATTAACTTTACTAATATTTTTGTAGCTGCAAGCTTTTCTTGTAATAATTTAAGAATCAATATCAATATTACCAACTCATTTTTTACTTATTTGAAGATCAGCAAAAGTAGAGGTGTTGGGTTAGAGTTATTTTTCTGATGCCAATAGTTACCTTACATTTGGTTGTTCGATGTAAAAAATGAGTCGATAATATTGATCTGATAATATTGGTCTATTTTAGATATCTGATCAAAATTAGTGTTAGCATTAGGTTTTACATAATTAGGAAATTATAGTCAGATGCAGCTTTAAATATCTAAAGTAACAACTTCAGGCAACAGGTAAAACCATTCAACATATAAAAAAATCAATTTACAATTCAGATCATTCCGCTAGGACATGTTATGATTAGAATCCACTATGTTTATTATAATAAAATAGTGTTAGATTATTATCATAAAATGTACTAGCAGAATGATCTGATTATACATACATAGAAAACTTGCAACTATAAGAGTACTAGCAAAGTTAATTGCCAATACCAGTGCAATGTATTATTACCCATAACACATTCCTAGTTAATATGAGATTAGGCATAATGTAAAGTTTAAAATTTAAACCTGATTTCTTGTAACAAAAAAATTTTTATTTAATAAAATTTTTTTATTAATTTTTTTTATTACCCTATACTCATTATAAATGATTTTTTTATACGCATATAATAAAAAAAAAATGTTAATCTGGTTAAATTTTTACCAAAAATAGATATTTCGAAACATTTTACCAACCTACCTAACCTGCATGTTAATGTTCATTTGTTACAAAATGCACAAAATTTTACGACATTAAGAAACATCGCGGTTAGTATTAAGGAAATGGTTCATTGCATCTTCAAAGGCATGGTCTCACATACCAATAAAAAAATTATCAAACTGGACCTTACATGGTGATATAATATAATAGAAGCATTAAGGCTTATTATTGATGGTTGGAAAGATCTTTGGTTTAGTATTAATACTAATGCCTCTCTGACCTCATCAAGGACCCACTTCTTTATAAAGTTTTCTCCAATTGGTATGCTATTGAAAGCCTATTATTGTATTCACTGAATGAAGAAAATAAAAGTCATGATAAGTAAATTTAAGTTTTTACTATGTGATCTTAAAATAATAGGATGAGCATTATAGTAAAATTTTCATGAGTGCACTCTTTCTAAATGCACATCCAAATTTCAGCTAAAATATATTCATGACCTTCACAAATGTGCTTTTTCTTATTGTTTTCTAAATGCATGTTGTTGGTCCTGTATCTCAAAAATTAGATATTTTAAAACCTACACATTTGGTAAAAATTGGTCAGTTTCAAATAATACCTCTTATGCGGCACTCAAAAACAAAATTTTGTGCACATTTTTTTTAGCAACGTTTACAAATTGTGCGATATTCGTACAAGTTTTACTTGAATCAACACTACTTGCAGGTATTTCAAAATAATGCTCACCTCAAGCACCTTAACATTGTTATGCTTAAATTTAGCATTTGTCTAAAGTTGTACCTGCTCGAAGTTACTAACTAAATTTGTGCAAGAAATCTAAATTACAACTAGATTTCAAATTAAGCACAATACCAAGCATACTCAAATAAGTGTAGGTGATCAAAATATACAGATGCCCATTATTTTAAGATTATAATAACCTTTTTAGTTTGTTCTATATATTAATATTAATACGAATTAGAGTTTGAAGTCAGGTTATTTTTTATATTTTAAATCTGATAAATTCATTTTTAAAATATAAAGAATAAATTTGTTTTAAACTTTAATATCCATGTTCTTAGATATAGAGCATATCACTTGTTGTAATAAAGACTTTATTAATATTATGCCTAAAAACAAGTGGAATCTTAGAAAATTAGAGAATATGGGTTTATCTAATATGTCCTCAATTTTCCAAGATCTTTATCAATCATATGCAAAGCACCTTGGATTGAGAAATGCACTCTTAAATAAGAAACTTGTGTTTTATGATTATATTACGTACACTGTTCTCAATATTGAAGATCCTGTTAAATTAAAATTCCATGTTGGTGATATTATAGAGCTGGTTGAAAATTCTGAGAAAATCACTTATGCTAGGATTAGAACAATATTTATGCATCAAGGAACTAGTGAGAAGACCTATGTGTTTTTTCAATATGACAGGTTTCAGGAGATGAATGTTGTTCATCCAATACTTGGATGTCCACTCTATAAAGTTCGAGCATCTGAAGGGGCATACATTTTCCCAATAAATTATGTTAATCATATTCCCCAAGTACATTTTCTACATGCTTGTACAAACATATGCAATAAGATGAATTGTCGTTATGTTTTAAACAAATTTTATTATAATGTAATATAATGAAATTAAATTCCTGAAATTATATTTTAGAGATGTTCTATAATATGGGTTGTTGTCCAACAAAACCATGCTTAGGGTATATACTCTAAGCATGGTTTTGTTGGACAACATCCCATATAATTTATAATTCTCAGTATCGTTATTGCTTGAAATAACAAAAGTTATTAGTCGTGTAACAGTCCTGTTATTGTAATCATTAATGGGAGAGCAGATACCAAAGAGGAAGGAACAAGGCTAATTTAACCTTAATGGTATACGGGTAAATAACAGAAAACGCTAATAGACAAGACTGGTCTTTTATAACGGTTGGAAAGATATCTATGGTGCTGGGATATCAATCAAGTGAGGATGCGACTATAGATGATGCTGTAGGGGTGATGATCTTAAGGATCGGGATATTGATTTGGCGATGTTTAATTAATTTGTCCAAACTTAAACATTGTTATCAGAATTGCTACATGGAATATTCTATCCAATAACATGAAGATTTTATTTTGCGAATGAAAAAAAATTTTAAATTGTTACATTATCGTTATACAGAATTTATGTTAGATTATGAAGTTTATCGCTAAAGTTTATTGAAGTTTATCACTAAAGTTTATTGAAGTTTATCACTATAAGTTTATTAAAGTTATTGCTATAAGTTTATTAAAGTTTATCGCTATAAGTTTATTGAAGTTTTATTGCTAAGTTTATAAAAGCTTTTTTAGTTTTTTCATTAAACTTTTTTCTAGTTCTTTCATTGTCATTTTTTTTTTGATCAGAGGTGCTTTAAAGTATTAAACCTTTATTTTTAAATCATTATAAATTAAAGATCACTAATTTTTACAAATCACATAAGTTAAATTTATTTAGATTCTTAATGTAGTAGTGTACTCTAGAGCTACTCTAGATTAAATCCAAATCTGATTGGAGTAGGTTTAAAAAATGTAAATAAATTTGAAACAACCTGAAGCAGAACTAAAACGACCTGAAGTAGGATCTGAAGCAAGTCTAGTGAAGATTAGATCAATCTAACCTGGTTTGTATGGCTGAAATTGGGAATTAGCACTGATTAATCAATAGAAAGTAATCCTTTTTTTTTTTGCCAGTACTAATGGCTTTGGTTGTTGAATTAGAATTGTGATAGTTATGACGAATCAGGATATAACTAGTGTTTTTTTTTTTATCTTATTTCTTTTCACCTTAGATACTGATTTTTTTTTTTTTTTTGAACACAGGTTTCACATATAGTTGGAATTGAGAATGAATATTCACAAATCAGCAGTAATTTTTTTTTCATATGCTTTTTATTTTCTAATTTTTTTTATTTTTATTTTTTTCTTGCTGATACTAACAATGTTTTCTCTAGTAATTTCAACAGTGAAAGATTTATAATTTTAACAACAGGTGGAGTGGGAGTTAGTGATTTCAATAATAGTTCATAATTTTGACAATGATTAGGTTAATGATTTTAATAAAGGGTGAATTCTTTATTATTATTTCATTTCATCCTTGCTACTTTATATATTAATGGCTTTTTTTTTTGTATACATAATATATACTTTGCTACTGAACATCGAACAATTAGAAGAGATATTTTTTTTTGTATGTTTGCTGACTCTAATGATATTTTTACAAAGATTTTGATTTTTTAATTGATATAGGCATAATGAATCGAGATGTTACTAGTATTTTTTTTTCCAGATACTAATGCTTTCTTTTTTTAAGTACAGGTTTTTCTAGAACTGGGATTAGGACTTAGCACTGATTAATCAATAGGAAGTAATGTTTTTTTTTTTGCTAACACTAATGGCTTTGATTGTTGAATTAAAATTGTGATAGTCACAACGAATCAGGATATAACTAGGGTTTTTTTTTTTATCTTATTTCTTTTCATCTCGGATACTGATTTTTTTTTTTTTTTTAAACACAGGTTTCGTATATACTGTATGACCTCCCTAAACCAATATGCATGATAGCCAGCTTTTGTATCAGTTTTGACAGATTATCTGTTTTGAAATACTAATAACCTATTAGCTTTATAGTTATAAATAAATATGATTGGCTAGATTTATTTCTTAT